ATCCGGTACTCTATTTAACACTGAAGCAACCGTTTTCTGCCTAATATCTTTATTAATTCCTTAAGTCTTTTCTAAACCCTACACAATTTTATGCAGTACTGAAGTATAGAAGCATCATGACAGATGTGACACAGTATTTATGCTTTTTGGGTTTATAGCCATTATAGCTTAATATTACTGGGAGAAAGAGAGAGACAGAGAAAGAAAATGACAGAATTAATAGAGGTACTTATGGAATATGGGTTTAGCCAAGAGAGTGAAGCATTGAAATCCAGAGGATAGCAGCCATCTGTAGAATTATTTTTATTTTCTTTGACTTTTAATTACAAAGTCTGATTCCTCTTTTAAGGTGTTTTTTTTTAATTCCTGTAAGTAAACAAACTCCATTATATTAGTTTGATGTGCAATATAGTGATTCCACACTTCCTTATATCCCTCTGTGCGCATCATGACCAGTGGACTTCTTACTCCCCTATGCAATCACCTATGTAACCCATCCCTCCACCCAGCGCCCTGCTGGTAACCATCAATGTGCTCTCTATAGTAAGAGTCCATTTCTTGATTTCTCTCTCTTTCTCTCTCTCTCTCTCTCTTATTTTTTACCCTTTGCGTGTTAGTTTTGTTTCTTAAATTCCACATACACGTGAAATCATGCTGTATTTGTTTTTCCCTGTAGGAAATCTGATTCTTAAGAAATGACAGATGAATGGCTAGTAGGTAAGCACATACCATGCCGGGTAGATGATATTAGAGATTAAATAGAAAATCAAGAAAAGGCACAGTTTCTCTCACTGTGTAAGGCACAACTTACAGAGACAAGAAAACTGCAAATATCACGAATGGATATGCACACCATACAATATGGTTGAACTTTATTCTGAAAGCTATCATATCTGACCGGCGAGTTTTCACTCCAAAAAAAAAGAGGTGTATGTGTGTGTTATGTGTATATGTGTGTGTGTGTGTGTGTGTGTGTGTGTGTATCTATTTGACATATGGCATTGTAGCTTCTCAGGGGGTATAAAACATCATGCTTTTTAATCACTCAAGGTTATTGTATTAATGAACACATAAAATGTTCTGTCTAAATTAATGACTTGGGAACATAAGGCCTGTGGTCTGTTCCTGAAAACCTGAGCTCATAAATCATTTAAAAAGTTTGTGGAAAATATTCACATGCGTGCAGATGTCCATACTCTGATTTATGACACTTCAGTCAGTGTGTACATAAGAAATATTAGACGGCATGTCACATGGATGTAGATGCTCTGGCTTGTGTTATGAACTGAGCTTTATCAGTGACTACTGAGTTTGATCACTTTGTAAATTAGAGGCTATCCTGAGGCATCTTTTGAGGCTGTTTTAAATGTCAGTACTTATCAGATAGGATTTGCTTGGATTGGCAACAAGCAAAAGGGGTTGCTGTTCTTTAATAACAACTTCTTTGGAATAAAATTTAAAAAGCGTCGGAGGTAATTTCAATGTTCTAGGCAGAGTTCGGCAAACGCTTATGCAAATAAACAGCTTGGGCTATTGGGGGCCAAGAGACAATTGAAGACTATTTTATAGGCATTTATATAAAAAGAGACAAAGCATATTTCTTATGGAAAAATTCTGATGAAATTCTATGTAATTATGTATCATTTACAATTCACCATAATACTAGTAATCAGAGGTGTAGTTTTCTGTAATGAAAGTCTACTAATCAGGAGAATGTGGAAATTCCCATCATAACTGGTCATTCTGAGAATACTACTGAATTTACAAAGCTTCAATAAAATAAAGTTGTAGAGAATGCTACTACAAGAGAATGAGTGTTAAACATGTGATAAAGAGCCATTGTGGATACAGATTTTCTCTCCAGAAGTGTTTCAGCGAAAGGAGGGTCACAGGATACTTGTTTACACATAACTCACTGGCATAGGAGCATACATACATTCACGCGTACTTTTGATCTATTTCCAAACGAGGACAGCCGAAAGAAAGTGACAAAAGTACATTTAATTACTTATTTTTCACAAAAGTGTCTTTATTTCGTGAGGAATGTTAAAAATACACATTGCATATGTTAATTTGTCTACATCTACCCTGTGGGGAAAAAGAAATGAGGACAGCAGGGAGACTCTGCAAGTTGCAGAATTGGTTTCCGAGACATTAGATGTGGATGGACCCTAGAGGGCTTCATTATGAGCTGCTGGGTCGCTGGTGGCTGGGGAGAGGGACTAGGAAAAGTCATGTTCAGACCTCCTTCTCCATGTTCACTGGGGAACATTACACTTGCCAGTTTGAGCTTAATAACGTTATGCTGTGTCTAGCAAATTATAGAGCTTCCCGTGCGCTTGGCTGGAGTATGCTCCCCCCAACATGATCTCAGACAGATTTACAAAAGAAGGCACAAGTCTGATTTGTAGGGACATGAGGAGAGTGGGATAATGCTATTCCAGAGCTGTCCACGTATGGGCAGGTGGCTGAGCAGCAAATGGATCAGAGTTCATGAGGTTTACAGCGGGTTGTTGTAGAGGGTGCAGACAGAAGAGAGACATTGCCAGCACAAGCACAAGTGAATGAGAGGAGAATTTCAGGATGAGGAAGAGTGGGTGACAGGTGAGTGATGACTGATGAGTGATGGTGCTATGAAGATTGACCACGGTATTCAGGTGTCTTGTAGAAACAGAACTGGCCCCCAACAACAAAGCATGAGGAAGTCTCTATACCTCAGGTCACCCAATAATATTTCACTACCAGCTTTTCCAATGGTAACCACTCCATCCCACCACCTGTACCTGCCAGGTAATGTTCCTACATCAGTTCCTTACTCTTGAATATGTCAGACGGTATGACTGTGACTAAAGGATTTGTATTCTAATTCTGATTAGCTCTAGAAAGAAAACATCAGTGAAAGAATCCATGATCTAGGAATATCTAGGATTCAGCATTGGGAAGCAAAGCTTTGGAAATCAAGGATTTAGTTGACTCATCTAGTCTACAGATAGGTCAGCTGATACAGACTTTCTTCTAGAACGGCCCCTGTTCGCTTGATGTTTAGCCACATAAACCACAGCTCTTCCTTCATTATTGACATTTTTGGTGACAATAAGTACATGATTAGATGGTCACGGGCTTGCTGACATAAAGCAATAGTCTAGGACCATATAGAAAAGAGTGAAAAAACTGACCCCTGTTTTTCTTTTTTTTTTTTTTTTTTTTTTTACAAATAGTTTATTGTCAAATTAGTTTCTACATAACCCTGTTTTTCAACAAATAGAAATTTTCTAATGTACAGCTTGAGGTTTTCTACTTTAAGATAATGTGAGTTTTACAAAGCAATGATCTTTTCAGATACAAACGTATCTGAGCTTCACTAAGAGCCCAGTTTTCAGAAAAGTCAATAATCAGTGAATCGAGGTGATTACATTTTCTTTACTTGCTCTAGAGCCCTCTCCTCAATCATTTCCGATATCCCAAGTCGGCTCTCTGTCTTCCATCTCTACTTCTATATTGGATTCCTGTTGAGAAACATGACTTTGCCCCCTTTGTTTTCTATTCATGTTGCGTGCCTGAGCTCATAAAAAATTCAAGTGTTCAAATGATATAAGGAGATTCCTTACATCTAGGTATTCAAAAGGTGTATTGCAGAATGTCAGCTGTTTTAAGCACACCACTAAATTTCAGGAATTCAATTCTTAGTATGTAGGCAAGAAAAATACGGTTTTACTACAAATGTAAAAATAGCCTGAAATTTTGACCCAGACTCACCAAAAGAGCACGGGTTGACACGATCTTTTCAGAGTACTTCCTTTACTTTCTTCCAAAAGGACACCGGGGAAAGAAAGGCAACAGAGATAAAATCTAAGGGGGCCAAGCGGTAAGATACTCCTATTTATAAAGAACAAACAGGGTTACTGGAGAGTGTTGGGTGGGGGGATGAGCAAAATGGGTGATGGCCATTAAGGAGGCCACTTGTTGGAATGAGCCCTGGGTATTATACTCAAGCGATGGATCTCATTGCTGTATATGTTATCTAACTTGGAGATGCATTTAAAAAGCAAAATTATTATTTGAAAAGAAAAAAAACAACAAAAAATAAAGGCCTCCAGTCTTATATCGATACAAATGATATAGATAGATAAATATGTCTAAATATATTGTGCTCTTGGGTGTCACCTGTTTCTCTTCTCCCTCTCATAGGGAGATTTTTCACTTAATAAAAACAAATAAACCGCAAAAGGGGCTCCTGGGTGTCTCAGTTGGTTGAGCGTGCCACTCTTGATTTCAGGTCAGGTCATGATCTCATGGTTGGTGAGTTTAAGCCCCATGTGAGGCTGTACACTGATGGTGCAGAGTCTGTTTAGGATTCTCTCTCTCTCTCCCTTCTCTGTGCTCCTCCTGTGATCTCTGTCTCCGTATCCGTCTCTCTCTCTCTCTCTCAAAAAAAAAAACAAAAACCAAAAAAAAACCCACAAAAAAACCTTAGCAAAATAAAAACCGAGGGAGGATTTTCTACTAATGTACTGGTCAGAGTTGGATCTGATGATCTGAAGTGTCAGTCCCACCCTTAGGGAAACAGAAAATACAGAATATTATTGGGTGGTTGGAATGTGGGATATGGGGATATTCATTAAACTCTGAATGAACTGCCATTTCCAAGCAAATTAAACAGGTATAGTTATTATATCCACAGGTCCAGAAGGACATAACAGAAACAACAGCTGCTTACTCTCTTACCCAAGTTGTCTCGCTGGTTGTAAAGCAATTGGATGCCTTCTACATAACTTCAGTGTGCTTCACTGTGTGTGGATGTGCTTCCTGAAAACACTAATGTGTACCTGTGGATCTGTCTTTTTCCATCCTTAATATAAATAAGATGGATGAGATGATCTTAGAGTTCTGCCAAAATCACGGACTCACTATATGATGACCGGATAAAATCAGGAGTAGAAAAGAAGAGGGACACAAACTGAGAATCTTGTTTCATTTTCATTTGGAGGCCTGAAGGCATTATGTCCATTTCCAACATCAAAGTCTTCATGCCTTCTGTGTTGACGCTAATAGGGATCCCAGGCCTAGAGGCTGTGCAGTACTGGATTGGGATTCCGTTCTATGCCATATATCTCATTGCTATGGTTGGCAATACCTTGCTTCTGATCATCATCAAATCAGAGCGCAGCCTGCATGAGCCCATGTACCTTTTCCTAAGCATGCTGGGAGCCACAGATATTGTACTCGGCACAAGCATTGTGCCCAAGATGCTTGGGATATTCTGGTTTCATGTGCCAGAGATTTATTTTGATTCCTGCTTGCTTCAAATGGGAATCATCCAAACATTTAAGTGCATAGAGTCAGGCATCCTGTTGGCCATGGCCCTGGACCGTTATGTGACCATCTGTTATCAACTGAGACATGCTGCCATCTTCACCCACCGACTAGTCATCCAAATTGGGACCGTGGTCACACTCAGGGCTGCCATTCTTGTAGCCCCATCTTTAGTACTGATAAAGTTCCGGTTTCACTTTTACCATACAACCATCATTTCCCACTCCTACTGTGAGCATATGGCCATTGTGAAACTGGCTGCAGAAAATGTACAAGTCAACAAAATCTATGGCTTGTTTGTGGCATTCACTGTCGCAGGGTTCGACCTCATATTCGTCTCTTTGTCCTACATACACATATTTATTACCATTTTTCGTTTGCCCCAGAAGGAGGCCCGGTTGAAAGCATTCAATACGTGCATCGCTCACATCTGTGTCTTCCTTCAGTTCTACCTCCTTGCCTTCTTCTCCTTCTTCACACATAGGTTTGGTGCTTATGTTCCCCCTTATATCCATATCCTGTTTTCTAGTCTCTACTTGCTGGTCCCCCCATTTCTCAATCCACTTGTCTACGGTGCCAAGACCAAGCAGATCCGCATTCATGTGGTAAAGATGTTGTGCTCATATAATCCACTGTGATGGATATCTTCTGCCTTCCCCTTTATGCCTTAGTCGCTATCTCTCAAAATGAAATATGACATGTAAAAATGCACATTATCTGTAATTATTCAATTTTGTGTTTTCTTTTGTGAAATTTGTATTTTATGGTATTCACATCATTATACATCATGACAACTCTTGTTCAATGAGTTTTGGGTTCTACTAGGTATTAAAAGGAATAAACATAAAGAAGAAAAGAGTGAAAATATAATGTTTCCTTTTCTCTCTTATGTTTTACTTCTTGGTTTAATTTCTTCTCTACAGGTTCTTCTCCAGAAAGACTCATATATATGCATATATCACTGAAATTAAGTGCTGCCAAACCCCTGTTTTAGAATGTCCTGGTTCTCAAGGAAAACAAGGCGTTTGTGTGTCTTGAAATTCTTAGTCACCTAAAATGTTATTTTTAGGAGGTGTGTTTTAAGCATATGGTGCCTAAAGGAAGAAACAAAGAAACAAGCTAACAAACATATACATAAAAGCCAAATCTCTTGGATGTTATGAAATAATAATATATAAGGGGCACCTGGGTGGCTCAGTTTGTT